TTAATAAAATAATTATAAACTGGAATATCGTATGTAGATTCCTAATATATATCAAGAGCCTTACGGTTAGTAAAAAACTTCATGCTGCTATGCTTGTATGTGACTCACAATATTTTTCGAATGAATAGTAATAATTATTATTAATAGTACGATATGTTTTGCTTGCATTAAAACTTCTAAATAATAATTCATCGTTCCTCGATAATACATTTAAATAGTAAATATAGTTTTGTAAAAAATGTATGTTCGCAAAAACAACTAAAAAGCCTTTATATTACATGGATTGGTATAAGATGTTAATATAAGTTGCCAAGATAAGAATTAATTTAATTAGAATATAAAGTCAAATCCAGAATTTTTCCTATTATAATTTAAATTAGAAAAAAAAAAACAGTACAATCTAATAATTATTCTTCATTATTTTATAATATACTTCGCTCGCAGTCTAATATAAAGGGAAGTAGACAATAAACGAATACATACAATAATCTACTGAATCTCTTTTACATATCTACATGAAGAATATCGAGTGCAAACTTTTCTAAACTCATCCTAAAAAGAAAAAAGATGACGTTATGAGTATTTAATAATTGGGATTAAATTATAAAATTATTACTATTATTGGTTTATTGTCCCGCGATTTGTCAATGCGAGTGAAAATTAAATTGCAAACATAAGTTTGATTTTTGTTTAACTTAGACTACAAATATTTTATGTGATATCGTTTTTTTTATCCTCGTCTTTACGTTACGATTAATGCATTTTCATTGTTGCGATATGTGTAACGATATGCGACCAAAAGTTTTTCACAAACATTAATTAAAAAGGTTTTTATTACGATACTAAATTTTCTAAGTCTAATATAATTAATTTCTCACTAGTAGCTTAATAATTATAAGGACATTTGTCACAGATTTTGAATACATGAGTAATCGTTTATGAAAGAAAGTTATACAGAACATTACTCTCTCAAATATGTATTTTAAAATTATTATTATAAATATAAATAAAATCGCCAACATATAATCAGACGGAATTTTATAAAGAAGATCTTATAGAAATATCAGTTGCTTCTGATAATAAATATTTGCGTCACTTACCTACCATCGCGCAGTTTTATATCATATCGATTCTCCATACAAAATCCAAATAATTTAGACGAAATATGTTCCAATATTAAGTATTGTAATAATTATCAAAATATTTAATTATAATCTGACAGCATTCTTGACATCCACCATCTTTATATTTATATTAACGTTGAAGAATATTGACAACTCAGAATTTTCACATCTAGATTTATTTGATGCTCGTATTATTGATCAGCTCCACCGTGCCTCTACGCATTTTTTTTGTCCAGCATAATAATTGATAAGTCTAACGTTTCCCAATCAATCAAATCGTAATGCACGAGTTCGTAAAGAATTTGTAGAGCGACCTAAGCACGTATGCCTATCGTTTCAAAAAAGAAAAGCCACCCGAATCCAGGAATTGGCTCATGCCCAAATCATCGGATGAAACTCCGGTGAAAGATCGCGGCGAATATTTTTGCACTCCAAATGATTGAATGTCCCCGCGAGATAACGCACACGCGTTAAGCGGCCAGTAATCAAAAGAGCGATAAGGAGCGCGGCGAGGTAAGGCATCGATAGAGACGAGCTGCTTGACGAATCGCATCGTAGAACACAGTGGCGCTGCTCCATCTTGGTCTTCCCGTTTACATAGCGTCTGAAATGGGTGTTGAACGGCCCTCGGCAAAGCGTCGTCGAATCGAGCGTCGGAGGCGAGAGCAGCGTTGTCCTGCTCTTTTTCCGTCGTGCCTCTTTACGCTCCCGCCCTACCGACGCAGGCGGAGCAAAACGCCCAAGCGAAGCCCGGCCGCATGGCTGCTACCGCCTGCATTCGCTTTGTCCAACGACTGCGTACTAGGAGAGCAACGATGACCTGGTTGGCCCCACGGAGCCCGGAGCCCACGAGCGACGTCTCCAGGATACTTTCCGCTAAATTATCCCCGGCTCTACCTCCTTCGGCGCGTCAACGCGTGCGTGCGTGCGTGCATGCGTGCATTGTGCCGGCATTGATGACGTTGTTGGTTAGTATTAATGCGGATCGCGAGGCTCGAGGTGTAAAACCCGAGCTGACGTTTATTTGCGTGGCTTAACCACCATTAAGTGTCAAGTAATCGAAATTTTTACCCTCATTATTTGTTGTTCTAAAGTTTTATCGTTTTATCCAGGCGATTAATATCCGAGGAGTTTCAATGAAGCATATTCATCAACGTAGAATAAGACATTCATATTCCTACGATATTCCATATGATGATTATTTACAAACAAAATATATAAATGTATGTGTGCATTTGTGTATGTGCGCATGTGTGCATGCATGTATTCGCGCGCGCGCGAGCGTGTGCATAGGTTGGATCAATTTTTACTTTATAGGAAATATTTCAAATTTATTTACACAATCTTCCCGTATGATTGATTTAAGCAATGAACAATTTACTTGTATTTTTCTTTACCAATAATTCAGATTTAATTGCTTAAAATAAAATTGTTATAGGTTAGATTTTAAAAGATAGATTTACAACATTTTACTATATCTTGGCAATGTTTTTATAAATTTTAAAAGTACAATATTATTTAATTAACGAATATAGTGTACGGAACTGCAATGTAATTTTACATCAGTTGCGATTAAATTTTATAAATTCTCTATCATGGAGTAAGTAAGAGTAAACGTAAATATTGAATAACGGAAAATATACGATTATTTAGTATAACAATAAATTTGAATTCAAATTATGCATTAAATTATGTGATATAAGTATAAGTTTTACAATATTTACAATAACAATGTTTATTACTGCGTCGAAATAAATTAAAGTCTAAGCAAAACTTGTGACATTTTGGTTTCTTACGTTGTTGATGCATACGAACTCTTTTCTTTCTTTTCATTTTGTCTTGCAAATACGTGGATATTTTTCTTAATATTATTTTCTCGTTGTTTGTATTGGGCATACATAAATTCCCATCTTTGTTTATTTCCATTAAATGATTTACATCAGAACAATATTTTCCGACCTAATCAATCAACACATAATTTCGATTAAAATATGCTAATAAATTTGAAAACTATATTTCGTAATAACTTTTCCAAAATAATTCCCATAAGTATATAAATAAATTTAGAATTTAGAAAATATTTTTCTTCGTTCTAAGCTTGTGTGTTCAACATCGTTTGCAATAGAAATTTTTTTTTTTAAATATCTAGGAAGTCTGCGATAAGGATTAGTGTTACTCGGATCTAAAAATTTAATTGTATCGTTGTATAGTGACTTAGGCCAAACTGACATATGATTAAAAATTTTTTTTGAACATAAAACAGTTTTGAAAAGGAAAAGTACATTGATATAGTGGATGTTGATATACCAATTCCATTTTCCTATCGCTTATTTTATGATTACTCGATGCATTTTTACCACCAGTTTTATTACTTTTACCAAGTTTTTCGAGCTTTCTGTCTTCAGCAGGTTCATTTGGGCCAAGTAATTCAATTAATCTATTTTTAATGTCGATTTTACTTCGTTTGCTTGTACTGCGATCTAGGTTAAAGTGGCAAAAACTAAATTGAACGTTAATAACAACAACAATAAAGAATAGTAATTATAAAATACGCATCCAATAAATAATATGCAAATTACTGATTAAACTTTACTTACCTTTCACTACAATGTTGAGTATCTTGATGAAGATTATGGCTAGACCTAGATGTGAAACTCATTTGAGAGTCTGACATGCATGACTCTGACCGCTTACTAAAAAATTTTCCCATTGTATTACATAATAATTTTAATAGTTTGTTTCAATTCATATAATTTATAACTGTTTATCCAACATGAATAATAATTTTGTTACTACGTTACAAATACTTTGATTCAATTGTTTTTAAGTATATTATAAATTTCAATGCGAATACTATTAAAATAACGTGTCTTATTATATATATTCTACAGCGTCGTTCAATGATTAAAAAATAATAAAAACTATAATTTTTTATTACTCGTGTGATCTTTATTTGCATTTAAAGACAAAATCTCGTATACAAAAGTGAATAAGATCATTATGTCTAATAATTGATAAATAGAAAAGGAGTTCTTAAGTAAAATATAAATCTTGAGGATAATTATTCGCATCATCAATTAATAGATACATGTTTTCTACAAATTGTGTCGTATTAAGTTGAAAATATATAAAACAAATAGACGATAAATGCATACGTATTTGATACTGAGAAAGAAAAATATATTTGTAAAAATAAACAAAAAAAAAAAAAAAAAAAAATATTTGAGTCCAAAAAATGTACAAAAACCATTCAGAGTTCATAAGTATGGTTCTCAGGAACTCTATGCTTTTTGATTTAATAATAAATCGACAAACAAGATTATTCGTAATTGTTAATGAGTTGTGCAAATTCTACTTTTTCGAATGCACTATTTTTAAATTAGTGTCAATAATTCATTCAAATAAAATACCTTCTTAAAATTGCACTTCGTGTTATAACTTTTTTCCTAATTTTATTAATTTTATACACTATTACACAACTGTGAGTACAATTTATATATATATATATATATATATATATATAAGATTCGGGATAAATTTTGTACATAACAAGCTGTTATTATATAAAGTACAAAAAAAAACTTTATGTAAACAGAAAATTCATTTCTACAATTGATTATTCATGGTATATTTGGTAAAAAAAAGCTTTATTCTAAAGGCAGAACTAACACAACTCTATAATATTTTATGAATAAACTCTTCTAACAATTTAAAGATCGAACCTAGAAATATAGCCGTAGCATACATTTAATTTCCTCGTTAGGAAAACATTCCAATGAGAGCTTCGAAAATAGTATTCGGTCTACGAATTCTATATTAAATAATAAATACATAATAGATTTTTTCGATTTATAAGAAAATGGTCTGAGTAGGCATATTTATGAAACATATTTATCAGTTTTGAGAACTCATGCTTCTCACTAATCTCATTTCTATTCGATTACATCGAACCAGATCATTATTAGGCTAAGACATGGCAAACATGTTTAATTGAGCAAATCTAATATAATCGAATCTTATCGCTTTATGGACTCAATAGCAAAGTACATAATTTTTCTATTCATCAGGCGTGCCCTAACCGTTCTTTGACGAAAAGTACAAGTCGCGGATGAGCATCGAGGTGACCGAGGGCACTTGCTTCTGATCGTGTAAAGTTGGATCCAGATTATTGTAGCTAGCGAAATCCGTAGCAACCTTACGCGCCGTCATTGTCAGCATCTTGGAGAGGTCGGTCGTTGAGGCGTGCTTATCGATCACATCGCAGAGACTCTGAACGAACCACGTGCCTTCCTCTGGATTCCTCCAAGAGAAGAAGCCTGAAAATTAAATTGAATTTCACTCATTTTTCATTGTCTATTGTGATGAGCTTATTAACATTTCCTGCTAAAATTTATGCTCGATAGAAACATCCGAGGGAACGTCGAATGAAATATGGATTAAATCCACAATTGGTATATCACAAACTTTGTTAAACAAGACTCGAGCTCTCGGTCATTAACGATGTAAAAACATATAAAATACAAATCTCTAAGCATATTAATGACAAATGTGTTTAAATAGGATGTTCTTTTACTCTTACCTTCAACGGTACTATGTGCAAAAAGAAAATCGGCATGCGTTGGAATTTTATAAGAGGTAGTAGATGAGTCAGTCTCAGTTGTTCCAGATCGTTGCATTTTAACGCCTCCATCGAGTTTATCTCCTCTACAAGCCTAAATCAATTGTAAAATTGTATATTACAATGTAAATTCATCGACTGCTCTTTGAACATCAATTCTTCGACGAGTAATTTGAATAATTTGAATAATTGCATGGTAATTCATACTCAGACACCACGTAAATGATTGGAAAAAAGCAATTAATTGTTTGCTCACCTGAAAGAAGAATAGCTTTGGTTTTCCGGCTAATGTACTACATCTATCGGCAGTAAAAGGCTTCCATATGCTGTCCAATTTATAAACAACGTCTTTCGCGCAGATAAAATCATTTTGCAATCCGTGCGTTAATACGAAAATGCAAATACAGTCATTTTCTGTATGATCTTCTTCACTTACTATGAATTAAAAAAGAAAATAAAATGAAAAGAAGAAAAATAAAATAAAATAAAAAATTGTTTATTTATATAGCAATTTTAATAATAATTTCTCGTAATGAATGTTATTACTTTAGCAATTCTATTAAGCAAAATATCGTATTGAAAATATAATACGTGTAATTTCAGTTTAACTTACACTTATTAATCTTATTTATTATACTACTGTGTTCGTAATCATCGCATATTTCGACGGTGAATCCAAGTCCTTGGAAGGTTAATTCGATTCGTCGTGCATCGGCACTTGAACCTTCGCGTGTCTCGAAGCCCATATCAAAATGTTCATGATTAAAAATAATGCATTTTCCTCGATTTCGATGATTCATATTGTAACAATCGGCATCTTTTTTCGATGATAATTTTCCCAATATTTCCACCGACGAACTAGAATACAAAAAAAAAAAGTCTTAAAAACGCTGTTGTATATGACATTCATAATATTACTATTTTTTTAACGTTTTAATTTGTTTGACAGTAAATTCAGTTCAATTATTTACTTTGTCGAAATATAACTTGAACAAAAAAAAAAAAAAAAAAAAAAAAAAAAAAAAAACAATTATAATGAATTAATTAAAAAATGAGAAAACTACACAATTAATTCGATAATATGGTTATTGTATAGCATCGTGAGATAAACGATAGAATTTATGAATTTTTTCAAGTATAAAAAATAATTTTTGTTCTTTTTACATTCTCAAAGTAGTATTACTCAAGAACTTCAATCTTACAATGAATAATTATCTTCATCTCCTCGTCGTACAAATGCATCGTGTGAGTTGATTTTATTGTACCTCCAATTTGACGAATAAGACCGATCAAGTTCTGGAGTGGTCGAGTATCCTTGATCCGGTGAAATCTATAAAGTGAAATACATCGCTTTATTGAAACATAGTCCTTTGAATTATTCGATATTCCCGAAAGATAATGCGCTATTTATAAATTGCTTTCTGAATATTTTAATACTCTTGAATCCCAAGGCGTCATTTATTATTCTCATACATTTTCAAAAATTGTACCCGATGAAATAATTTCATACTTTACATTAAATACATAAATATTATAACAAAGATAAATTGCTTTCAATTAATAAGTTTCTAGTGATAATACGCTTCTACAGAAATATAAATACTAAAATTTTAGGCAATCGAATTAATAATCATTCGATATACTTGATCATAGAAATTAAATGCACGTGAAAATAATTTTATAATTTCGATATATATGGAAAGACAATGAAAAAGATTTCATTTTAAGAAGTTTTTGCTCATCTAATGAAATGTAAATGTCAAAATAAAAATTAATGTATTAGAATCCAATAGCTTCGATCGATGTACTGAAATACTGAAAATTTTTGTTTTTTGCTGTATTATAATACGCTAATCATTCAGTCGATCAGTAAGTTGGATCAAGTTTATGTTATAATACATAAATTTGTATTGAAAAAGCATTTTTAATGCATTGTAAATTATACAATATATTCTCGAAGTGTATGAGACGATCGTAAAACAAGGTTATGGACCGGACTAGATGATAAACTGAAATAAATCAGCAAGATTCATATAAATTAACGAGTACCGTAACATTTTTATCAAATAGCTATTGAACAATGATAGCCATCTTCACTTAAATATTATCAAGCAGATTAATTTTCAAACGTCACTAAAATAGCCTTCCCGTGGACTACTCATTAGTAAAGAATCAGATGTATTAAATCCCACGGACATAAAATATTAACGTTACTATCGCATCTCTGTCGCTAATATTTAAGTTAATTGAGAACTTAAACAAAAAAAAAAAAAATAATAATAATAATAAAATAAATAAGATGATCGAACCGCCAAGTTCCAATAGGCACTCGTCCTCTGGGGCGTGACGAAGCCTGGGGCGGTGGCCGAGGTCGTGGTGGCGGTAACACGATGAGCGGAGATAGCCGGTGATCCAAGGTCGCCTCGATCACCCATGCTGTCAATTACATCGCTAACGCGTTGACGACGTTTACCCCGACCCGGAGTCCTCAGTGGATGCGAATCCTCAAAGTCCGACATCTGCAATTCACCAGTCCACCTTTTTACCTTCGATTTTTTAAGAAACGACGATACTGTGGCCCACTCCGAAGGGCTCATTATTAGTAAAATTTCAATTTCACATTGAATCTTTCAGACTGCCATCAATTCACCTACTACACATTTGAAATTTTAGCATATCTATAAGATGTGCAGTTGAATTTTGTAAATTACGTGGCTTTATAAGCCGATTCGTGCGTGCCAATTTTCCGTAAATGCCCTTCTACTTACTACGAGCGTCGACATTATTTATTTTCAAGTCATTTAAGCTGTCGGTACTATTATTAAATAAAAGTTTACTAATCTCAAATAATAATTGCCATTGGTTATATTAAAAATTCTTAGAAATGCTAAAATTCAAATTAAGGTAATGTTCGAATATTGGCTTTGCCCTTCGTATTAAACTATCGCTTGAACTATCGAAACAACCGGGAGAAAGCTAGAGAACGTTGTGTAGTACAATTAATTCTCTACATGACTATGGGTTTTTAATTAATCTCAACATTGATAAGAATCGAACCCATTATACAAAACTCCAAGGGGTAAGCGGCCAAATTAATAATAGTCCTTTAAGATTATTATGCATTTTTCAAAAGAAGAAAGAGCCCCCAAAGCTATAAAATTCGATCGCTATTAAATCAGTAAATGCACCAACGTTTGGCATTATTAAATACTTACTTAAATCATATTTATACATACATCATACAATCATATATATATATATATATATATATATATATATATATATATATATATATATATATAAATATATAAATATATATAAATATAAATATATACACATACATACATACATACATATATATATATATATATATATATATATATATATATATATACACATAAATAGTATTGACTACCATTTACCTTTTATTCTACAATTTCATATTATTATAACACAAAGCTTGAAATGAATGTGTCTAATTAGATAAATTTGCTTTCTTTAAATATCATTGATTATTTTTACAACGAGATTGTATTTTAAGTTTTTAACAAAAAAAATTTCTAAGAAAAATTTTAAACAAAAATTTTAACAAAAATAAAAAAAATCATCAAGTCTAATACAGAAATAAGCATGAAATTTAACACTTAATAATGAAATATTATAAATCAAATCTATAAAACGATTATATCCGTCTAAAGTATGTAAGTAGGTAATGGTAATGTCATTGATTAACGCAGAGTCAATTAACGATGTTAACAATAGGAGTCGATAATCCGTGTGAAATAATATTCTATAATGAGCTGTAAATATAATTTTAAACATTTCTCGTGTAAATTTAATGCCTAATGCAATCGATAATTCCAAAAAAAAAAAAAAAAAAAAAAAAAAAAAAAAAAAAGACAGATAAATTATAATGAAGTGGTAAGAATCCTTACGAAAATTAAATTGATAAATAGAAGAAGAATGTTGAGCAACTCGTAAAAATTATATTGACATACGCAAAAGTCTTCTTCGTCCTGTTGCATTCTCGCTGCTATAAATACAATACTGCCGCCAATCAGTCAACGACTCAAGTCTCCCGACGATTGCCTCCAATAAACTGGCGCGAAAATAAAAGCAATGCAATGCGCCGCACGTGAGCGGTGCAAGAAGGTCGTGGCGATATTAACCGGTAGAGCTCCAGCGGGACGTGCTTATAAACAATAATTTGCGCCTGTTTGTAATTAACGAGTGTGTACGTTTAGGGGTGATGGTAGCGACACTCCTATATCAGTGGCCGGCTTTTGAATTTACAATTTGACCGAACTTTTGAATTTCTAGGATATCGAAGCGATCGGTTAGAAGCATAAAAAGAATAACTAACGAGTCACCTCTAATCTGGTTTACCGATCATCCATTTACAAGCTCCATTAATGTAAGTTTTGAGATATTTATTCTATTTACTGTCTTCCTATCCTATATAAAGGCAATTGTGAATTTGGCGTCGATATTATGTCAAACGTGGATATACAAGGCATAATTTAAAAACACTTTTGCTAATTTTTTTCTATTTTTTTTTTTTCTTTTTCATTGAAATAATTAATTCCTCTTCTTGATTCTTATTAATATTCTTATGTTTTATGAATAATTTATTATATCGTTTTAAGCAAACTATAATAAAATTTAACAATCGTTTTTCGATAAATAATTTTATTAATTAAAACAATTGATTTCTTTTTGACTTTGTCATAAGGTTACGAAATGCGATAAATAATTTGTTTCTATTGTTGTGGTTTTTGTTTGTTCTTTTTTAACTAAATTTATGATCTCCAAACAAACAGAAATAAAATATTATTTGTATATTTACTCTATATTAAAATCATTGCTATTTTTTACATAGAATTTGAGTGGCGAAAATTCGTTAACATTGTCATTTAAAAAACATAAGTTTTTAATGTGCGAGCGCGTATGCTGCACACGCACACAAACGCCCACACGCATATATATATATATATATATATATATATATATATATATTATAGTAATTTGTAATTCATTGTGCACAACTCTACTAAAATGTCAAATATTGTTGACATTGGCTTGTTATAATGTTTTTTAAAATAAGCATCTATTACGATTTACAAAAATTCTTATGTTTATAAATACACGAAATCATCATCGCATATTATACACAGCTGGAGTAATAATAATATTTATAAGCGCAATGTAAATGCTCTCTGTTTAAAATTCTAATTCTGTAAACAAACAGACTTACCTGTATATCGCTGTCGTACTCGCACTTACGCTTAGACATTATCTCCCTCTCCTTGGCGTGTCCCGAATTTACTTAACTGACGCACTTTGCACTGCGACCTGTAAATAAAAGGTAAACAAGGCGCGCATCCTCCCGTCAACGGCCGCGTTTAACGGCTCCGCTTTTCCGTCTCAAATCTATCAATAATCACGGCAGGCCTGATTCTCAGCCGTCTCTTTTTTTATTTCTTTGTTTATTTATTGTTCCAATAGTCTTTTCCGAAATGATCTGCTCGTTTGACTTCTCCCTCTCTCTCTCTCTCTCTCTCTCTCTCTCTCTCTCTCTCTCTCTCTCTCTCTCTCCAACTATTAGACGGATGAAAAAAACGAATACAGGCGAGCACGGTGCACTGTATTCATTTGAGTGCGATGGAAGATCAAAAGGACGTGTGCTAACTCGATGAACATTTGAGAGTGACTGCGGCCTGTTGTTATGCCTTATAAATCGGAACTTTGTGTACCTCTTTCCTCGGCTTGCGCTTATGCTTCTCCCCTCCTTTACTTTACTTCGCCGAGAAATTTTTAACTCATTCGTTGTGAGGGACAGTGTGAAAGTCAGAGCTTACTCAGGATTTCGAATACTCATAATAATTAGAATAATTAGAATGCATAATTTACCGAATTACCGTATCAATTTGAGTTTAAATTAGTAAGGACAAATTCTTAACCTATAATTTATGCAATGTATATTAATATTGTATGGGGATAAGAAAATGAATGGAAAAAATGCTATTGCTATTTAGAATCAGTAATAATAATTTATAGAAATTATGTATGAATGTGACGGTATAGGTATATATGATACACAATTTAATGTCAATAAGCGTTTAGATTATTATTACGTTAGAATTAAAAGTCTAACGTGGAATACATCTTAGGTGTATTAAGCTGATGTGTTTGTCTTAAAAGTATTTAACGTGCAATTATAAAACTTGGGTTTTCATAAGCCATCTTTACGATTTGCGGAAATCGGGTATTGCAAATTGTAAAAAAATTTGAAGACAAGCGATAAAAAGCAATCCTGTATTTTTCTTATAATTCATAAAATCACATTAGACTTGAATTATTTTTATCTTATCCTAATGCATTTCCTCTCTACTAAGGAGAGATTATTTGTTTTTTTTTATATTATGAATCTGATTAATCGATAATTTTGAGAAATATTTTCGATATAAAAAATAATTTTTATCATTCGACTAAATTTAACAACAATTTATTCAACAATATGTATATATATCTTAGATACAAAAATTGATTATAAATTTAAAATTATTTTTTACCTAACTGTTGTGTTAGCTCATGTTGTGTTCATGGAGTGCTCTCATTATTTTGAAAAAGTATAACGAACATATAAAAGTTAGTTTTATCATTGGCGAAATAATTCATAAGCATTTATTCACACTTTTTTTTTTAAGTAAAAAGTATAAATATGAACTATGGAAAGCACGAATTGAATGATAGCAAATTATTTAAGAAGGCGCAAGTATCGAATTGAAATGAAAGATTAAAATTCATTAATTGAGATAATAAAGAAAAACTTTATAACAATTATACAACTAGAATTTTTTAATTCTTAGGAAAAATAATAATATACAGAAGAAAACATTGTTAATTGCGACAATAAATAACTTCTGTTGTATACCGGTTTACATATTTATATATTTTTAAATTATGATAAGTAATATAATATTATATAATACATTAATTAACGATTTTAATATTATAATAATTCTCTGATCAGAATATAACGAAAATTAATTGTCTATAGATACGCAAAAAATAGATCTTTCAATAATATGAATAAAAAAATTACTTGAGTTTATGATCTATTTGAATGGAATCCTTTGCATCTAAATTAATAATATATAATGATTTATTGCGGAAATGTTAGATACTCACACATAGCTTTAAGGGTAAAAGGGAAATTTCATTAAAACTTATTATGCCCTATGTAATTAACAAATGGTCACAACACTTAAGTTATATAGTATGCATTATAATAAACAATAATAGTCATTTTACGCATTTGTACATTATTTATTATATAAGACATTAGAATATTAATACTAGGTTGTGCGTAAAAATTTAATAATTAATTCTTAAAATTTATTAATTTATGATAAATACATGGATAATAAGAAGAATCTATAAACAAACCTCGTCTTCGATTTCCGAATGGCTTTCGTATTCAGAAAATCCACAGAACATGTCTATTTTCCATGTCTTCTTCAAGTCGTCACTCTTCTTCGGATCGCACATTTGATTTCCATAAAATTACTATCATTCACTATTATTTATCTCCGATATAAATGTGCTTTCCGTTAAATAAACGTTTGGGTTGTGAATACAAGGAAGATACGATGTTACAGTCGCGAGGTTGAGTGACAATATTCAAGACACTTACCGGTAAAAGCCCGCAAGGCTCACCTCCCCTTACTCCTTCAACGTTTGTCATTATTATATCAGTAGTGGTGAGTTTTGTTTGGAGCGGTACCGCTCACCCATTGAGAATAATTCATTGTGACTTATCATTTCGGCAAATCAGAACTTTGCTTCGGTAATTCTTCGTCAATAATAAATTATCGGGTATTCGTACACGATTGTTCAAAAGAAATCGTGAAATTTTATTTTGAAATTTATTAAAATCGGCTTAATTATTGTCAGAAATTTTATTTCAGTCTACGAAATCCTCTAGATTTAAAAACCAATTTTATGGAACAAAGTGATATAAATATAAATCTATATTCATAATATAGACGAATACACACGCGCGCGCACACACGCTCATACGCATATATATATATATATATATATATGAATTATTAATTAAACTGATGAAATAAACAGAGAAAATATTTTTAGCATTGAAGATAACCATTCCATTTGCTTACGATTATGAATTTGCTTATTTGCAAGCAGATTTTTCAACTCGAGTCACTTCTGAAAAGATTGATAGGCCATATTTTGAATCGAGAAGAAACATAAGCTTCCCTGTTACGCGACCTTTTCCTTCCCCCTTTACCAAACACTACTTCATCGTACTTAAATGTTTTTGTTAATGTTATTGTTTACTACTTTTGAATCAAACTCCAAAAGTGTCAAATATTTTACGCATTTACCAACATAAATGTTTTTATTTATAAAGTGTTTATTTCAGTTCTATATTCTAAACATCAAATAAGTTTTTCAATTGTATATGACTTTCAGAAGTAGATCTGTCGATAAATCGACAGATAAGGAGCTTTGAAATACATTACATCCATATTAAAAATATTAAAATAATGTTTAGTATAAAAATTTTCATTGTATATAAACGTAAGTTTCAGTTAATCAATTTAATATTTAAAAGTTGTTTCTATAACAAAGTTTAATCATACATTTTCATTAAAAATATTTCTATTATTTCGATGATAATTTTAACGATATTAGTGTTTTACATACAGTGTTTAAAATTTTACAAATATAACTAATTTCCTTCTGGTATGTTAATAAGCTTCATTTTATTATATATTTCACCATCTAAACGCACTTTAAACCAATACATTACAACAATATAAAAAAAATATAAATATTCTAAATGAATCGTTAATAGACATAAAAGTTAAACATTACTCGAACCAATTAATATAATTGGTTCGATACAAGTTTTTCACTTGCATAAGCCAATAGTCAAATTTTCCGTAGATAATTCATTCAAATTATACAACACACTCCATTTGGCTTTGGACTTCTCTCATTCATTCTTCCTCTCTTATAATCGCTTATAATCGTTAACTTGATTTTTCCTCTTTTATGAAATTCATCGTTTCTATATTCAATTGATTTATTTCATAACACTACTTCATTGATAATTATTAAAAAACATTACTAAATCGTAATTACAACTTTTATAATAAACTCCAACATGTAATTTATAGTTCGAATTCGAAGCGTTTATAGGTCTGGCCGCATTATTTGTATTACAAGTGTATATTAAATATTTAATAAACATTTACCATTATATTAAAACGTCTTTGACAAAAAATATTTTTTATACGCATTTTCTTTCATTTAATTATGAAATTATTTATATTTTTAAAGTCTCTTTATATTATCTTAGAATTCATCGTTTATGTTTGGTTCATATAACCTAGTTTGATTTCTAATTTACATCCAAGTAAATTGGCATTAAAATCTTAATTTTTCAACATAAAAGTAATTAAAACATAAAAACAAAAAATAAAAAAAACCAAAATTATTACTAACCAAAAAATTATTTTATATAAGTAATGGCTTCCTTTTTTCATAAAAAATGTGAATTTTTACATACAAATTTATAAAGAATTTTCGGTAATTTTATTATACTTGAATATGATTTTAAATCATAACATTATATTTTATAATGTTTTATAATATAATGTACATTTATATTAAATTTATAAAAATATTTACATTATCTATATATGTATTATATTTTTGTAACCCATTTCTTAATGTGATCTTGTTAAATAACATTAAATTGGAATAATCATGAATCATCAATAACTGAAATGTAAATGTACAATATAAATACAATTACAATATAATTTCATTGAAATTATTAAGTATAGATTAGAATACTATCAATTTCCAATAAAATATTTTTCTTAATAAATGTAGTTCATATGCTTAATAAAATTCGCCTGCTTATTATCAAAGAATAAATTTAAAAATACCACGTAATTAATTTCAAATTAAAATATTTATTTAAATTACTACAATATTATTTATATTATTGCTTTTGTTGAATTAAGAGCCTTAGATTAAATTTATAACGTATAATAATACTATACTGTAAAAATATAAAATATAAAAAAAATTTCTTTATAATCGACAATTGCAAATCTTTTATTTATATTTTTTTGTTATTACTATATATTTTCTGATGGTAGGGAAAACTAAATAAATATTTAAATAAGCACGTAGTTATATGAAATTTAATATAGTTATATATTTGAACTATTTCAAAATATAATAGGCGATGATTACTTGAAATAAATTAATTGATTATTGTACTAAAAGTTAAAAACAGTTTTACAATTGGAAAAACATTGGCTAATTACTTAAAATTATTTAAATAATTATTGTAAATAATTTATTAAATAATATTGTAATCCTTGCTCGATAAATTTATGCAATGCGAAAATTATAAGTTAATAAGAAAACAAATATTGTTTATTCATAAAGCGTGTTTAAATGACGGTATGGTTTAGCGATGCATAGAATTTCCTTCTATTTAGTATACGAAATAAATTTGTATCAACTTAAAATATGGGAATAGAATTCCATTGTTTAAGATTTATAGTGCACTTGATTCGTGTATGAATGGATTTCTGCAGTCATACATCTTTTTCTCAGAATATACCTTTCATACGGCTTTTCCTTCAAAAGTCATTTGTCATTTTTGTTTATTTTTATATTTGGTTAAATATATATTTTTATAAATAAACAAATTGAATGAAGATTCATTTGAAGAATACCGATTGAATACTGATTGATTTGCTGATAAACAATTACGGCTTATTAATTCCATGACAGGGAATATAGTTTCGTCAATATGTAGTTATTTGGTTATAATATGTATACATACATGCATACACACATTCATGCTAATGTGCATCCATACATGCGCGCGCGCGCGCGTGTGTGTGTGTGTGTCTGTTTTTTTTATATAATCAATATATTTACATTTTTTATTAAATTTTTGTGTGTGTGTGTGTCTGTTTTTTTTTATATAATCAATATATTTACATTTTTTATTAAATTTTACATAAAATTTTATACGTAAAAAAGCATCTGCGTATTAAATAACAAATAAATTGATCGACTATTGAGTCAACGAATTATTACGTGAATCAACTCGGGTCAATTTTTGTATCTTTATAAACTAATTTTTTTAATTCTCCCTCTCAGTCGCTGTCTTCAGTATTTTGAACAGGTCGTGTCAATGGACATCTGCTATCCTCGTCGGAACAGTATATTACCTCCTCATCTGAATCGTTTATCATTGAAAACGATGGATTATCCTTAGTTATTGAATTATCTAGAGAAAAATTAATTAAATTTTTTATCAATGTATGTTATGAAATAACAGTACTCGTGGAACGTATGCAGCAAAATTTATATTTAAAAAATATTTCGTCTCTATGTGTCTATATGTGTCTGTGTGTGTGTGTGTGTGCGTGTGCGTGTGCGTGTGTGTGTGTGTGTGTGTGCTCATAGTAGTAGGTATGTACGCATGGATGGATTTAATGATTTGTTTTATAAATTGAAAGTCGAAAGTATAAATACAGTTGTAATTAAATCTGCATTACGCGAAGTTTTATTTATAAAATTGTAGAAAAAATATACTTACGCTGTCCGTAAACTTGCTGTACTCCGGGTGAGTACACGTAAGACATGGCGTATAAATAAAAATTCAAAAGACCATAAAGAGCCATGAATTGGGCAGAAGTTTTGTAATGGGTTGAAAGACGCGAGGCAAAACTATCCTCCAGGACACCCGCTCCGAATCTCCTGATTGTTATGAGGGACGAGATCCCAATAACGATGGCGAGAAACAATGTTAAAAATTTTAAACGTAAATCTACAAAGAAGAAAAATTAAAATTTTAATAGTATAAAAATTTCATGAGCTTTCGTTTATTAGGTAATCGAAGTTTCCTCTTTCTTCGAGAAGCAGATTTTGGATATTTTCAAATTAAACATACGTCATTTGAGTATCTGATTTATAGAGACTTTCATGATATGGTAAAATTGATTAAATTTTATTAAATATTAAAATTCATTAAATATACGATTGAAAATTTTTTTTGCATTATAGAGTTTAAAACTAATCGTTTTCACTTTATTATTATTATTATTATTAATAAATACCGCTGTGGTGAGAGCGATATTAAAATGTTTATAATTGCTCCATTTGACACAAAGCATACAAATAAACATCTAATATCTGATAATTTTTATTAAATTCCAAGACTTTTTGTTTTTAAAATAATAACTTAAAATGTATTATCGAAAAATTAAATATATTATATCATATTGTTTAATTATTTCGCGGTTTGGTCGAGGATATTGCGACAGAAAATAGTCTTGTAAATAACCTCTAATTCTAATAAATAGCCAGATTTGTATAAAGAGTAAGACAGTACAAGGGATTTTTAATATAAAAAAATTATTATTTTTACGAATAAAAGCATCTCGTGAATTTCTCTACAAAATGATATATGAGTCATATGTTTCTAAGAAAGTAAATGACTCATTCAATTTAAAATTGCTTATTTTCATTAGTACTATACTTTAACAAAATACGTATTATTATATTAATATCTATTGGTCATTATATGCTCTTTATTACACCATGAACAAATTATTACTCTATTTTTATTCATCTCATTTGGGTATTTTATGAATATTACATGCATTGAATTATGTTAATTTCAAATGATTTTTAATAAACATAGACCATAAGCAATCTAGTACATATAATAATAAAGGAAAAGCCACACGATTGTTGGAGTTTTTAAAATGCAATATATCACCTTTGTACAAGTACTGCGTCGCTTTACCGCCTTAGAGCGTGAAAGGGAAAGGTGAGTCACTTGACTCGCAAAAAATGAAACGATCAGAAGAAGGTAAAAGTCTAGCAGAGGGAATGATTCTCTCCTCCTTCCGCGCTAAGCTAACGGATAAGGGAAATGAGCTATGGTATTATATGAGCTAATGTATAAGAATCAAAAACACACACAGCCAATAACAATTATTTCTAAACGTTCAAATGACTTTGGATCATTCAGTGACAATTGGAAAATTATAAATAAAGTTTGAATGTTAATGTGAATGTTGATATCATATGAGTATGAAATGTAATGATAGTGTTGATATGAAATAAATATCAACATTATTAAGGAAAGAATTTAAAGAAAAGCACATAGCACTTTAGATTATTAAGATTACTTTCGAGATAAATATGAACTTCATTAGTCTCAATTACTATTTAAATTTAATATCTGCGATAAATTCAGTAATCCTTCATATAAAAATTTTATAATACGATTAATATATTAATCTATCAAATTTAATGTGATAATATATGGACATTGCCAATATTTTATCAAATAAAAAGTTCTGTACTTCTATATAATGATCTCAGGCAATATCTACTTATTATATAAACGATAGTCCATTTAAAGTTAATATTATTTCTGTTGATAATTACTTAATTCATTAAATGTATTGTAAACAAGCTATTACTTTATTTATAATATATATTATAAAAATGAACAATTTAACAATTCAAATATTTTAATATATAATAAATATAATAGATTTTTACGGTATGTTACATTAAATATAATATCCCCACAGAAATTCATTAATTTATTTTATTATACATCACGCGCAATAAAATGATTTATTACATTTATTTTACTTCTTATTAGAAAATCTTTGATGCATTTGAAATGAATTTAATTAACATAAATTTCTATTTGCTTGAAAAATATATGAGATAACGAAGATGCTAATTAATAAACATACTAATTTTAATTTGTGGTTTCGTGGAATTTGTGGTTCCTAAACATTTATTTAATAATATTTCGTTAACCAAATTAATGGAAAGATAGTAAGGATTTTGTAAATTAAATATAATAATTTTTATGTTATCCAATAGGTTGTATATATTGAACATGTACATACATAACTTTTTATTCAATAAAGTATTTTATAAATTATCTAATAATTTAAAAATGATAAATCCTATTAAAGGAGCCCTCACGAGTGAGCAACGAATTTTATATATTTAATATTCATAAAAATAAAGAGTATATGTATATATATTAGGATTTTTCACAAGGATATTGATTACGGTACTCCTTCTTTATTAATATAAAGTCAGATTATAGATTAATTTTTTTACCACTTATTATTCTTTTACTACTTTCTATGTGACTTGAATCAATTTTTTAATACAAATTTGTATATTATGAAATGGTTAGCAAGCCACTATTGTTTCTTCGAATTGCAATTTAAATTCGTCGAATCTTAATAAAGGAACCAGTTTTATGACGTCAAAAATTGAAGGCTAAGCGGGTGGAGCCTCAAATCCCCACCGACGACACATTCTTCAAGTATATCACATTATTTTTCGCTTAGCAATGGATTCCGGTTGTCTCGTGGAGATGGAAGGTAAAGTGTCTTCGATATTTCGCGTACAAATATTAAAATTCTACACTTTTGTAAAATAGTTTAACAAAAATAAATGCATAGATACATTATGACAAAAATGTTGAAATAGGTACAATTTTAAAAGCTCTTAAGGTATTGAAACGATCTTTGACAATTCAAACCAGACGACGAGCATTACATTATTCGACAGTTGTAATCGTTGATAAATTTTGAATGACTCTTAAGGAAATAGAATTATTATCTTATAATATATACTAAGCAAATTTATATACAAGTTATTGGGTCATTGGATTCGGTTAATTCACATATTTCCTAATTATCGATTACCACTCTAATTAAAAGAATTTTTAATATAAAAATATTCTATTCTTAAAACTAAAATAAAAAATATATATTTTTGAAAGATATGTTACATATTTTTGTTTAATTCTCATTCACGAATTAATAATTCTTGTTGATATTTATAATTATTACAACAATACTGTTTAAATATTAATAATAAATTGTTTTGAATTTTTGATAATATTAATTTTTGATAATATTAACAAAAATTAACCTTACCTAATAAAACTTGCAATTAATGAATTTATTATTTTCGTGCTAAAAAAGGATAATGCAGAAAAGAGATTTCTTTTACCTAAGATTAACATTTGGTAATAGGGCGAACATAGAAACTTAATATACTTATTTTAGTAGAAAAAGAAAGCTTAAAAACCGGTTTTTCGTCTTTTCATTTATGTTAAAACTATTAACAACCATGAAAGTAAGTTTATGTTTCACGGTGTAAATAAAAATATCAAGTTAACACAAAAAACTAAAACAAAAAAATTTTCTGCACAATGATTATTTTTCGCTTTTCATATTGTAATATTTAAGCTATAGATAAAAAATTATTCTAATCAAATAAAATGAAATAAAGCATACAATATGTGAATGAACATTGAAAGAGATATTAAAATAATTATTTTTAAATCTATCCGGACATTTATTTAGATATAAAATTTAAACATTTAAAAATATAATAAATTTTATAAAGAATATGTAGAAATAATTAATCTATACTTTTAAAATGACTTACCGAAGTATGGCATGGATCTTAATTCACTATATGCTCGTAGAATTAGTAGCAGAAGATATGCTATGTAAATACCTCCAACCGAAAAGAAGAAAACTTTGAATCCCTGATTATAAGATATATGATATTATATTATTAAAATGTTTTTACACATTTGTATGTACATTTAAATGTCTTTCAAGGCCCATATATTTTCCAAAGCTAATAATCGTCTATATGGATATTTATAATATGTCAAATTAATAGATATGTATACTAACATAATAACTAGATGTGTCAAGGACATAATTATACGTCGGATCTTCTAATTCTGTACATCTTAACCAAGTTGCAAGCGTTAGAGCTGCTCCCCATAGTGTACCCACTATTATTATTTTTGGTAAATAAAACGTTAAAATTCGCCTCTCATTCTGTGAAGATAATAAAAATTTTATTAATTTATGATTTCAATCAACCGTAAGTAAATTACAGTAAAATTAAAATTTAATATTTGAGGCATATTACTTTTAAGGAATTAGTTTAGAGAATAAACGAAATCATACATCATATTAAAATAATAAACTTTATCAGTATTATTATAATAAAAATATGCTAAATTTTGTTTACTAAGATTTTTAATGGGTATCAATTATTATATAGTATGTTCATATAATAAAAAATTTAATTTATTGTGTAGTGATCAAAACGGAAATAATGTTTATTAGTTTTTAATATATATATATATATATATATATATATATATATTCATTTAAATAAAATATATAATTACTGTCTTGCCTGTCTTAATCCATGATAAACACAGAGCCAAAACATTAAAATTGTACAAAGAAATGTTGTTTGTAGAATAGCATCGATCATTCCAGGTAACCAAGAATTAATTAGGAACGTCAATGGAAACAATGGATCTTAACATATTTAAAAATTATTTTATATTTTATATTCATACCATAGACACATAATGTTTATTAATATTATTTTACTTACTATTGTATAAAATGAGTAAAGGTAATAAAATGGATATCCACTTTTGTTCTATAGACCAATCTTGGACCGGATATTTTTTAAGAGAATTTCCAAACCAACACTGTAAAATGATATCTCTGCATTAAATTGGTAGCAATGATTTGATGAAATCATAGATAGTAAAGTTTTTATATTAAATCTTAAAAGATTTTAATATTTTGTAAATAAATGTGTTATCATAGTATATTATTACGTTAAACATTATCGTTTGAAACAAGAACTTGAATTATGAAATGATTTATGACTTTCGAATGACTAGACGTATGAAAAGTCATGAATGTTACATTTCATTCAAGGATAGGGTAATGTTATGATTGTCCAATCAAGTCATTAAAGGTATTAATAACTTAAATGTCAACAAAATTGACCGACTTCGCTATCCATCCCGGTAGAATGAACGTAAAATCTAATGTAAATAGATGCCGAGGCTTATCACTACTTTTGATGCCATTCTTTATTGCTTCCATTTATATATCTTTCTAAACTAAAATATATAAACAATGCCATTATTGCAATATTATAATGTCCTTAGACATTATTATATCAATAGAGTAATTGTCTATTTCAGTTAATTTATTTGAAGAAAAAAAAAATTGATTCCATATTTCTAAAAAGATTTATTCTATTCGTTATATTAATAATATTTTACTTTCATAAAAAAATAATTAAAGTAGAGTATAAATTATTAAGTATAAAAGAAATTTAAATGCTTACTCACCGTAGCTACGAATGTGAACAAAAGAAAGATTAACCTAAACCAGATTTCTATTTGCGTAAAAGCTGGATTGTAATGTTTAAACTATAACGAACATTTAAAATAAATTTTAGTCACAACATTGAATTATTATTCAAAGAAACATAACTGTTTGTTGTTTATTAGTGCTTACTGACGTAGAATTTAACATCACGAATGGTATAACGTTGATGAAAGCTCTCCAATCCATAAAAACGTACTGTAATTATATAGTGTCCGTAATTTAGGAATCCAAGATGCGCGACAATAATTTCTTCACATGTTTGACTTTCGCATTTAAGATGCCTCGTCCTAATTACATAAAGAAACAATGAATTACTTCTTAAAATATTAGATCGGTATAATGAGATTCTTATTATATATTTTGAAATACAAAGGGGATATTTAATGAAATAAAAATTTCAAAGACCCATAATAATGTCAAGTTTTAAAAACAATATTTCTCACAAATATATCAACAATATAAATTTTAGAAGAATTCATTACTATTATATCAATCATATGGAGTTGCGTTAATTATTCATTATTTCAATTAAATTTGTTATGCACAGAAAGCGCTAGTCAACCCCTTTATGTGATATTTTATTTCAATAAGATATTTTATTAATAATCATTTTACTTTCTTTACAATTTAATAAATAATATAATGCACTCGAATGACATTAGAAAATTCTATAAATAGCTTTGGGTTATTAATACAAATCGTTAAAATTAAATGTAATCGTTTTGTTCTATAAATTAGTCAATGGCTTAATGCTATAAGCATTTTTTTATTTTCAACTTGTATAATGCATCGAATTGATTAATTGATAATTTAATCGACTTAATAATTTAATCTATTAATCGACAGCTCTTGTCTGTTCAGCTTAAAAGTGTCATATAAGTTTACCTATTATGACCGCCCTCTATCGGCAATATGTGCTCCACTTTGCGCTCCACTGTAATACCATCTATCGATACACTAATTCGAAAACTTTTGTCATATCGTTCATCTAAGATAAATCATATTTTATTATCTCTTATTATTATTATTATTATTATTATTATTATTATTAATCAAACCATGACTTTTTAATGCAAAATTATTCATAAGTAATGTCGAGTCAAAACCCCATTTTACCATCATTATTTGATGTCGACAACTTAGCTATCACCCATAATTGCTGACTGTAGGTCGATAAAGCTGGTGTGTTCATAATGAAGGGTCCAGTGTCCATGTCGCTGGTGTTCAAATGTGCTTTTTGTTCCGACGTTGATGTAATCGGAGGACCTTTTATACAATGTCGTTTTATTGCCATGATACGCGCTTTAATGGGGGCTAGAAATTAAAAGAATACGATGTCATAATAAAAGCTTACCAGCCAGACCGATGAATACTGCCAATCCAAAACAAGCAAAAAATGTAAATACGACCACGACAAATTCTCTTTTGTGCATGGAATAAAGTCGCATGCTCACAGACCTGCAATACATAGACAAACTTTTAACAATTGTGTGCATTTGCTGTAAATATGTAGTATAAACTAAAAACACGCTGTTACTCTAATGTAATGTAAACTTTTTACAATGACAAAATTCGTCGGCATAAAGGTCACTAAATGACTGGATTGAAAAGTCAACTAATTACTAAATACGCATTAAAGACTGTCGAACCTTTCGCAACGGTCGTGATGATAAGCCGGTGCAAGGTATTTGTTAAATTCGCTAAAAATATCGCTGCACTGGGACAATGCATTGCGCACCTTAAAGTTCCAACCTCCGGATGGTAAATGATAGGAGTATCCCATATTGGCTCCGTCCATTTTTCTCGATTATATCGCGTAATACGCCTCTGAAAGCAGACAGTGAATGTTGTAGAGGATACATCAACATTATCTCGATAAATGCACAGAGAAACATATAAAAACAAGGCCTTGAGCGCGTTGGAAAATAATCTTATTCGATTTTTTTTTTTTTTTTTTTATTTATTTATTTATTAGTTATTAGTTATTATTATTATTATTATTATTATATGCTTATGTTAGGAGAGGTTATGTGGATATCTGTATAAATGCGAGGTAATTTATAAAAACAAATGCATGGCAGTTTAACTTTGCATACGTCAATTTTTTAAACGCGTTCGTACTTGGTGTGCTTTATGTTTTATTAATATGGCGTATGAAAATTTTTTTTTTTATAGTATTGGTTTTTGTCGCATAAGAGAATGCAGCACGAGGACTCTATCGATACACGAGTCGAACAAGATTTTCACTGACAATGACATCTACAATTTAAATTAAAAATAAAATGTGTAAATAGGCGAGTACAAGTGAACCGTAATTATTAAACAATAAGCTGTATTTATCAAGTTTTCATACATAAACCAAAGTGATGGCACGATACGCGTGTAACATGACGCTACGCTATCTCAAAAACATTAGACTCTATTAGAATTTTGAGAGGAAAAAAATAATCGAGAGGAATAAATGTCGTTTATTCTTTTCTTAGTCACTTTTATCATCAGTACTTGCGATTGTCCTAGGACGACCACGTCAACGACCACCTCACGATTAGCAAAATCACCAACGAATACAACTTATTATATTTCAACATTGGGCGAAGGGAGGCCTTAAGCGTTCCTCGGATAGACCCTCGTCTCCTCCTCATACATGACGACGGCTGGCGACGCTTCGCAAATTTCCTGAAAACCCTGAATTAGAATGAACTTAAGGAAACTGTAACACTCACCGCGACTCCAAACAATACAACGCACAACGCACAACGCACAACGCACAACGCACAACGCATGTAGCACCTGGAGCGTCGCGACGGCGCAACCCTCGATGCGACGCCTGCGTATTATAGAGGTTTATCGATTTGCAGACGAGTGCACGACCACCGACTCTCCTTCCATCTGCGTCCCTGTGAATATCGGGAAATGTGGGACGGTTGTCTGATGACGAGAGTGGCCGACAAAGGCTCTTTCTTTTCTTGTTGACGACCTCACCCGGATAGTACGATTGCCCCAGCCAACGTTAAATTCCACATCTTTTTGCAGTACGCTCGGTTTGTGAGTGACTAGGTGGTACATTGGATATATAGATGAAATTTGTGAGAAGATGTGATATTTTTATGCTTCTCCACTGTGATGATTATGATTAAAGAGGCACGAATTGCATTATTAAATTAATAATATTGGAATATGAAGTATAGATC